AAACAAAGCTCTTACAGGATCCAGTCATTTTGTGATCTTTTGTGAGACCTGGCTCTTTCTCTTTGTTGAAGCAAGTCATTTCTCTTGCATTGTGAACCTTTCAGCAAACTGTTCACCTGTGTGTGACACCTGTCAAGTATAACAATTGGCTGAAGCAACAATCAGTTCTGACCTTGGGTGAAGTTTAGTGGCACACCTGGAAAGAGTTTGTAATTCTACTGTTTTGTCATTGTAGCTGGCTGGCCACCAGGTCAAGTAAAAGGAAAATATCAAGACCAAAAAGGTAGTTGGTAGCAGAGCTGCATCCAAACCACAGTTTTGATATTCTACTCTCTCTGCTTAGGTTTTTAAAATAACAGTGATAAGGTCATAATTAAGGTGAGGCAAGTGAGACACTCACCTTCAGGTGCAAAATTTAAGGTGCCGGAAAAATTCAGTAATCCTAATGTGAATGAAATATTTAAAACAATGCAAAACAAATGCAAAAAATCCATGATGAACAAAAGATCAAAATGTATTCGAATAAAGACAAGATCAATAAGCTAAAGTTATTTAGAAATTATTTAAGATCATCACTGAGTTAAAGGAAGTGATCAAACATTTCCTCAATCAAAAACAAGATGAGTGACATGGTTTGGCTGCATCCCCACCCAAATCTCATCCTGATTTGTAGCTCCCATGATCCCCACATGTTGTGTGAGGGATGCAATGGGAGGTAATTGAATCATGGGGGTGAGTTTTTCCCATGCTATTATTGTGACAGTGAATAAGTCTCATGAGATATGTTGGTTTTATAAAGGGCAGTTCCCTTGTACATGTTCTCTTGCCTGCCACCATGTAAGACATGATTTAGCTCCTCCTTCACCTTCCACCATGATTGTGAGGCCTCCTCAGCCATGTGGAACTATTAGTCCATTAAACCTCTTTTTCTATATAAATTACCCAGTCTTGGGTATTTCTTCATAGCAGTATGAAAATGGACTAATATCGTGAGCAAAGAGGAAGGTTTTTGAAAACATTGATGAGTGTGTTTCCTTTAAAGCCAGGAAAGTAAAAACTATTTCTAAAATTGTTTGGAAAATAAATAAAATATTTAAACTTAAATTGATGTTTTAAGTTTTGATATACCTACTCTTCATGTTTTCCACATTTTTCAACTTCCTTAATGATTTTTTAAAAAATAGCCATTGAAAAATAAACAAAAATGCACATATCAGGACATACATTTTTCCTTTGGCCTCAGGCTGCAACATGGCTTAGCGCAGCACTAGATCTGTTACTTAGGAATGTATTCAGTGGATTTCTCTGCATATGCTATGGCAAAGTAGGAATTTTTCATGAGCAAGATTCTTCAGCAGATACCCCTCCCTGGATAAGGGGACAGCTGTTATGGTCCCGGGTGACCAGTATAACTCTTTGATACTTTCCTTTTTCAAGTACTTGTGCATCTTTTGGGGGTGGGGTGGGGACACGGAGCACCTGGAGCTGCAGGCTTCATTTCCTCCCACTGCCTCTCCATCAGTCGCTTGTGGCCTGTCACTGTTTTAACTTTTTCATTTATTGTGAATTTCAGTGGAAATTCTTTAGTATTTGTACTTCTGGGTAGGAAAAATTATGTCTGATTTATCATTTGTTTAAATGGTTTTCATTTCCCTTTTCTTGTGTTATTTACTATGTCGGTAAAGTTTGGAATGAGATTTATCAAAGTAAAGGAATGTTTACAAACAAATAAGAGAGCCCCACATTCCCCAGATAGCAGTGGTTCTAAGGATTGGATATACATTGTGAGTTCCAGTACCAAACTGTTTAGCCACTGAAGACTATCTTCTGTTTATATAAATCCACCTAATGTCACTACATATTTTTGCATTTTCTAAGCTGCATTCATAGCCATTGCTTTTGTTTTTAAAAGCTTCTACATTTCTACCTTTTTACTCTTAAGATATATACTTCCTCCACCACCTCTAAGAATTGTTTTCTCCAGGCCTCAGGGCAGTGTCTCCTGCTCTGCCCACTCGAGTAACAGCAGTAGTGTGTGCTGTTGCTACAAGAAGGTGGATGCAGTCTCAGGCTGTCTGGCAGTCACATCAAGGGAACAGATTCCCTCACTTCACTCTGGCCTGGAGTTTTGGAGTTCATTCTACCCGTACATTGTAGGAGAGACACTGATCAATTGGGCAGCTTGCAGAAGAGATTTGAATGTGGAAGAAATATTGACTGAACCTGAGGCTACTCACCCGGGGGGAGAACATGAGATCTGTCTTCAAATAATTAAAGGACTTAAAAAGTTAGACATATTCTAAGGAGCTCCTAGTAACAGTGGCACTTGTGGAAAGGGCAGGTGAGGTATAGGAAAGGAAAATTTTGCTCATTATGTGGACTTTTTCCTCTAAAATCAAAGCTATCCAAAGGCAGAATCATTTATTTTATAAAGTAATAAAGGCCTTTCTCATCTGTCAGCCTTCCTTTTGACTCAGAGTCTGTGGCTACAGTGTTTCATCTTTGACAAGGTTGAAGTGCCAATGCAGGACACACCACCATGCGACTATAAAGAAGGATTCTTTTTCATAATACGGAATCCTCCTCCTATTACTAGAAAACTGACTCAGGCAACAATTTCAGAGATGCTTTAGGGTCAAATCTTGTCCTTTCAATGGGAAGAACATGTAAAATTATCAGTGCCACATGCCAAATGTTATATTTATCCAATTGTCTTTCTAGTGGAGTGTGTGGTTTATTCTGGCAACTATATCTTATAACCATTTTCTATACAGCCAGGGTACGTTGAAAGGAGAATTAGCAGGACAATAGCACACCAAGGATCCCGTTGTTCTGATGAGTTACCTGATGCAGAAATGTTTCCACTTCCAAACAGGCTGTATTCCAAAGGCTGTTCTTAAATCTGTCTAGTGCGATGACAGTAGACATACGATCTTGAACGACCCTCTTGGTTACGGGCAGCACCGACTGGCTTTTGCTCTGGTATGTGTCTTTGTTGTCATCCAGGAAGTTCAAAATTTGAGAATTAGGCAGAGAAGCTTCTATACAGGTTTTAGGCTAGTCAATAAAATGGTAGGAAAGGAAGCAGGGATTAGGAGCAAAGAGAGAAGGGGTTTTTTATTTTTCTGGGTGCTTTTCAGCACTAGATTGGTGGTTTTGGCTACATATATCTCTAAAAGTCACCTCTGGTTTCTGTCTCATTCCAGATCAGAAGGAAGAAGGAAAGGGTGATTCCTAAGGCACAACAGGGTTATACCAAAAAAGTGTAAGATTTCCACCCTACCCATGATACACGTACATAAGGAGGGAATCAATCCGTTCCACTACTCTTTCTTACTCTAAACTGCCAAAACACCGTATCACAGCTCTGTCTACTTACTTCATCCAGGGCCAGAGATGCTGATGGCTGATACATTCAGTAAATTTACATGGACACAAAGCTGACAGGCCCTCTCTCTTACTTTTGGTGGGAGAAACTAGTTTACCTTTTAAGGCTTAATGAGTTTTGATAATTTCTTCTCCATTCACCAGCAAGGCTCTGATATGTCTGAAAACATGATACATCAAACATGTTTATAAGCTATACACTGCAAATAAGAACTACCAGGGAGCTATTAATCATATTTTTTAAGTCTACCTGGTTCTTTCCCTTAGAGCCAAAACTGCTTGTTCAGTCAATTATCTCATAATCTGTTTCTATTCATGTAGGCTTTATTTAGTCTAAAATAAAGTCAGAAAATATTTACAGCAGTGTTTACATTAACATTATATTAAGAATTTGGTTTATCCACATGGGTAAGTGCCAGGGAATTCAAATTGCTCTCAGAAAGAAAAAGAAAGGAAGGGAAAAGATAAAAGAAAATTGGAGTTGGAGCTAAATCTGCCATTTTTGCTTACCCCCTCCATTCATTCTGCTTCAGCACTCAGTGAAATCAAGGAATCTTTTTCTTCAGAGATCTTTGACATATGTACAGTCCTGGACCCCATAATGATGTTTTGGTCGATGACAGACTCCACATATGATGGTGATCCCATAAGATTAAAATACTGTTTTTACTGTACCTTTTCTATGTTTAGATATATAAATACTTACCATTGTGTTACAGTTGCCTACAGTATTCGGTATAGTTACATACTGTACAGATTTGCAGTAACAACCATAGACTACACATTTATATGATGTATAGTCAGCTATACCATGAAGGTGTGTGCAAATACACTCTCTGATGTTCACCCAAGGACCGAATCACCTAACAATGCACCTCTCAGAACATACCACCATCATTAAGCGACACATGATTCTACTTGCAATGGAGCCTGAAGAGATTTAAAGCCTTCTAATTTCCTGGGTGTCTTGTATTTAATGAGTTACATTATTGGGATTCTGACTAGCCATAATCAAGAAAGATGCTGGGAGACAAAGTAGGGAAGTAGGAGCAGAAACTTGGAGTCGGACAGCCCCTGCCCATTTTGTTTCTTTTTTTGGTGTGATTGACAAATTATTTACCCTCCGCATTTCAGTTTCCTCATCTGTTAAAAACATAACAAAACAAAACAAACAAAAAACTAACTAACTAAAACTGTGGACATTTGTGAGGATTGAAGAACGTAATATACTGTAATATAAGGCCCCTAGCACAGTGCCTGGCACATGGTAAATGTTCAAAGAACTGTTAGATGAAAAAAGGATTTTCCCCAAACATCTAATCATCAAAAACAAAACAAAACATAAAAACCCCACTTGATTAGCACAGAATCATAGAACTCTATTTCTAGAAGGGACTGTTGCACACGATCTAGTCTGGCAGTTTGCAAGTTTTTTTAAAAGCCAGTATTCTTTGAACAGAATATTAAGAGGAACCTGATGCATTAAGGAAATAATGGCAGGCTGGGTGTGGTGGCTCATGTCTGTAACCCTAGAACTTTGTGAGGCCAAGATGGGAGGATTGCTTGAGGCCAGGAGTTCAAGACCAGCCTGGTCAACATAGTGAGACCCCATTTAAAAATAACAATAATAATAATGGCAGAGCTGGAGGAGTAGGCAAAGCTCCCCCTTGGTTTCCTCGTATCTCCATTCCCTTGGAAGATCTGGAAGCATCTGATGACTTCTACAGCACAGTTTGAAAAACGAAAATCTGGTCCAATGCCACTATTTCACCAATAAGGGAATGGCCCAGAAACATGAAGTTGTATTTTCAGTGGTATGACCACACTGCAGCCCGAATTTATCTTCCCCTACAGCATCATGAGAAAGAATAACCAAGACCGTAGCATGTGGGACTATATGGCCAAACACTACAGAGAAGCTTTAAAAGACCTAGAGCTTTAGTTCATCCTGTGTGCGCCTTGTTTTCCTCTATAGATGGTAGATGATAATCTTTCGCATGGCCCATTTCCATTTTCATGTTTGTTTTTCAACTGTTTCTGGTGTCACTTAAAGTATATCCTGTGGGATTCCAGTACTTTCTAACAGCCTTGAAGACAATTAGCAGCTGCATAGATTTCCTTGAAACAACTTCGCCCCCTCCTGTACCCTCTTTTTTTGCCTTCTGTGGTCCTATCGATGCTAAATAAAATGCTACAATTTCTAAATGTTTTTATATTAAGGGCATTTACCAGCAACCTCTTCACTAGAGTGTCCTCTCAGGCATTCTGCAGTACAGAAATGTAAACAACAAACTGACTCAATGAAAGCCTGAAGTCAATGTATTTTCTTTTTGAGATAAGTCTATGTTTGTACAAACAACCTCTGACTTTATTTGGAAAAGAAAAGAGATATAATACAGTTTATGACTGCTGGGCTCTTTCCAAATGTGGCTAATTTCCTGTTAGGTTATTCACGTGTCTTTATGTTCTTGTGGAAAGCATAAGGTCTTTTACTTTTGGAAAAGAGGGAAGTTGAGTTGGGGCTAAGGGAAGAGGCAAGTTTCTTTTTCAAAAAAAAATTTTATTATTTATTTTATAATATTTCTCCTCCCCACAGCCCCACTAGAATGTCAGCTCTGTGAGGTCAGGGATTTAAGGCAGAAGAATGAAAATGCCCAACCTAAAATACAAGATCTACAAAAGCACCTGGATGAAGAGTCTGCCTCATGGGAAGGGCAGGGCTGTCCTGGGAAGAATCAGCTGCACTTTGGCACCTTCTGAGGTGCCTGTCCAAGCCTGACCTGAATGGGACTGGTCATGTGAGGGGTCAGTCCTGCAGGCCACACTCACACTTCTTCTCCAGATCTGCCATCTCCTTTAGGACCAGGGCCATGCTGTACCACAGCTCCTGGAACTTGGCTATGGGGACCTCGAAGCGGTATGCTAACCCATCTGAAAGCTTCAGCTGCATCAGGACGCTCAGCTGCAGGGAGTGAGCCAGGGCACTGGTGGAGATTGTCACATCCACCCACCACTGAAAGTCAGCAACATGGGGCAGCCAGGCCCCTGGCTGCTGGGCCACAGAATAAAGGATGGGTCGCTGGCTCCCAAATACGATGCTGGCCAAGTCCCTGACCAGGTCTTGGGGGATGCAGAGCTCCTGGAGCTGGTCCCTGAAGGTGTTGGGCTTCAGGCTGGTGGAGCGCAGATGGAGGGCCGGCTGGAGCAGCGTGTGCATGCCTGCCAGCAGGACACCTAGCCACTCCTCTGGCAGGTTGGTGCTGACCCCAAGACACTGCACAGCCTCTCGGCAGTCCTCCCCTTGCAGGCTGCTGACCATAAACTTCAGCAATTTTCTGAACGTGCTCCTGTTTAGGTCCCCTAGTAGCTGGGCCATTGCTGCCACCTCTGGAGGAAGCTGGGCCCCCAAGAAACCCACTTGGCCACTGTGACTATCACCAGGATGATGCAGGTACAGAGCTGCAGCCCCCACAGCAGACACTGCTGTTGCTTCCTCCTTGATTAGCCAGCCCAGGGGGTCGGTCCCAGATGCACATACCTGGTGCCAAGGATCCCCAGTCGATGCAGCCAAAAGCAGGCCTGGTCCCGAGGTGAGATTCTTAATCACCATGAAAGTTGACCCAGGGCCCTAGTTTGCACTGGGCTCCTACTTGTGTGCGTCTCCATGTCACCTCTGGAATGGGGACTCCCTGAGGGCAGAAGCATATCCTTTAAGTCTCTCTCAAAGGTCTGCATATCCAACTCACAACCTAGCTCAGAGCTGGTGCTTGAAAACTATTTATTGACTGTTCACCCAAGAGACTTCCTAGATGCAAAGCAAGCATGTTGAAAAACTTAATTATTGTTGACTCCTATCTATGTTAAAGGAAAATATGTATTGCAATAGTATTCTACTGTTTAAAAGAAATATCTAGGCTGGGCATGGGGTCTCACACCTGTAAACCCAGAACTTTTTGAGGCTGAGGTGGGCGGGTTACGAGGGCCGGAGATCGATACCATCCTGGCCAACATGGTGAAACCCCGTCTTTACCAAAAAAATACAAAAATTAGCCAGGCATGGTGGCATGCGCCTGTAATCCCAGCTACTCGGGAGGCTGAGGCAGGGGAATCACTTGAATCTGGGAGGCAGCGGTTGCAGTGAGCAGAGATCGTGCCACTGCGCTCTAGCCTGGGCAACAGAGCAAGAGTTCATCTAAAAAAAAAAAAAAGAAAGAAATATCTAATGGAATAAAAGAATCCTATTAGGACAAAGCTTAAAGGCACCTTATAGGAGCTCTAGCTTTCAGTTTCTGGGCTAACAGAGCTAGACCAGAGGCAATGAATTCAGTAACAAATACATGTAAGAATTATTGAGTGCCTAGTATGTAGTAAATGCAAATCTAAGAGCTTTATGTATCATATCTCATTTCATCCCCACAAGAGTTCTATGAAGTAGCCTGTGATTATCCCCATTTTACAGATGTGAAAACACAGTCTGAAATCACTGGCCCGTAGTGGTGGGATTTGAACCCAGACAATGTGTCCAGAGCCCACTTAGCCACTAATGACCAACTGAGTAAAATGCGTACAGGAGACAACAGTGCATTTATCATAGTGAAAATATGAAAGGCTCAACGACACTATTTCCTCTCAGATGACTTAGTTGAAAGCTGTGATCTCCTACATTTTCTGAGTTTGGGAGAAAGATGGGGAAGAAAGATAAGAGCCATCACAGTATTAACTGTTTTTTTTTTTTTTTTTCTTGTCCTGATCTGACAAGAATTTTATAAATCACTGATCTATTTAATTTTCTTAACAAATTACATTTTTTGGAGTTACTTTAGGCATTTCCCAGATACTTTCCAAATGATTCTTACCACACCAATGTGAGGATGTTAAAGGTGAACATTATTCCTACTGGCATGTGTGGAAAAACAGAGGCACGAGGAGGCCATGGGGCTTGCCCAAGGTCCTGTCAGTTACTCCAGAGTGGACATTAAACCATGGCTTTCTGAATCGTAGCTCAATTCGCTATGCACTGGCAGCACTGTCTCATGTCTACCATAAGCATAAGTCTTTCATGTGCTGGGAGGCAAAAGTGAGCCTTCTTGTTCTCTTTTAGGTGTGTGGATGGCTCCTAGATCTCGACTTGCTCCTGAGGAAATACTGTGTGACTGAGTTTCCTGTTATACTGCTCTCCAATCGACCATGAACCAGCCAGAGTCTGCCAATGACCCTGAAGCCCTGTGTGTGGTGTGCGGCCAAGCCCACTCCCTGGAGGAAAACCACTTCTACAGCTACCCGGAGGATGTGGATGATGACCTCATCTGCCACATCTGCCTGCAGGCTTTGCTGGACCCCCTGGACACTCCATGTGGACACACCTACTGCACCCTCTGCCTCACCAACTTCCTGGTGGAGAAGGACTTCTGCCCCATGGACCGCAAGTCTCTGGTTCTGCAGCACTGCAAGAAGTCCAGCATCCTGGTCAACAAACTCCTCAACAAGCTGCTGGTGACCTGCCCATTTAGGGAGCACTGCGCCCAGGTATTGCAGCGCTGCGACCTCGAGCATCACTTTCAAACCAGGTAGGTCCCTCACCAGTGAGCTGGGAAGCCCCGCCCCCAAGGGGGACAGCTGGACCCCTCCACCCCCCAGTCGCCTGAGGGGTTGCAACCAACAAAATGATCCATTCAAAATACAAAAATACATAGGTGTTTATGGTCATGGTTCAGTGTGAGGAAATAGCATTTGGTGGAGTTGTGTTGTGTGTGTGTGTTTATGGGATTTTTTTTTTAATTGTAATAAAATGTAACATAAAGTTTACCATTTTTAACCACTATGAGTATACAGTTCAGTGGTATTAAGTACTTTCATGTATTGTGCAACTATCACCACCATCCATCTCTAGAAATTTTTTATCTTCCGTAATGGAAACTCCATATTCATTAAACACAAACTCCCCATTCCACCTTCCCCCAGTCCCTGGCAGCCACCATTCCACTTTTTGTCTCCATGAATATGCTCTAAGTGCTTCATATCAATGACATCATGTAGTATTTGTCTTTTTGCGACCAGCTCATCTCGTGTGTGTATGTTGTGAAATGTGAAATATGCCAGAGAGGGCATATGAGCAGCTTTCTCTGAGGCTCATGGGTCCCAGAAGTATTTCCTGATAGGCGCTGCTTGCTTTTTCACTTACGGAAAAAAAGGTGCCCCAGTTTGACCCTTGATTATTAGAATTTCCTCTATATTGGAATTGACAAGGCACAACTGTCCTTTGAGAAGGTGTGAGGTGTTGTCAATTAAGTTTTAAAAGGAGAAATTTAGGAAATTTTTGTCCTCCAAGCAATTCGTTCTGCTAACTTTGTGGCCAAGTTGCTAAGTTGTGCATGCACGCACACACCCACCCACACACCGCACCCACACTGGTGGCAGAATTCTGGTGTGATTGCCGCTGCTGATGGCTAACATCACCTGTTCCATCTGGCTGCCTCTTATTTTGTCCACTTACATTGTCATGTCCCTGGGTATGAGAACATTTAAAGTGCTTAATAAAGGGTGAACGATCATACCACAATTATTTTGTAACAGGAAATTTGGAAGCTGGTGTTTATCCTGGTTCCTGTCTTGACAAGGGCAGGAGGCAGGTGCAGGTATTTTGTTTTTTAAAGGTTACATACCTTAGGTCATGAATCTGAGTCTTTGTCTTTTGGGACTTGCATGTATTCTCTAACATGGAAGTTTGCATCAAAAGCAATGGCCTGGGTGTAGTGCTTAGCATGTGTTTTCCATACTCATTATGTCAGTGAATTCATTTTTCTCCCCAAGATGTTGAGCCAGATGCTTCTACCTCAGGTTTTTGGGTTGCAGCTGTTATTGCTGGTGTTTAAACTAGGATGCCCTACCTCCCTCACTCCCCAGAAGTAGATGTGGTTAAAGGAGGAATAGGTAGGGTAGTCTATTTGTGACCTTTGCTGAAAGTTTTGCCTAGGTATGAGAGACGTTGGTGGGAAAGAAGTAGGTCTGGAGTCAAAGGCGAGGTAGATGCCAACAGGAGTTGGCACAGAGCCATGTTCAAGAGTGGGGCCACACTGGGCAGGGGGATGAGGGGAACAAGGAGGAGAAAGAACCCAGTAGAGCTCCCTCCACCCTCACCATGGTCCCGTGTTCCTGGTATGTTGCAGCTATACATTTGTACTGGGGAGCTGTGTTCATTTCTTGTTGCTGCTGTAACAAATCACAAACTTAGTGACTTAAAACAAACCAAATTACTGGGTGCACTGGCTCACACCTGTAATCCTAGCACTTTGAGAGGCTGAGGCAGGGGGATCACTTGAGTCCAGGATCTTGAGACCAGCCTGGAAAACATAGCAAGACCTCATCTCTATAAAAAATTTAAAAATTAGACCTGGTGATGTGTGCCTGCAGTTTTAGTGATTCAGGAGGCTAAGGTGGGAGGACTGCTTGAGCCTGGGAGTTGAGGTTGAAGTGAGCTGTGATGCGCCACTGCACTCCAGCCTAAGTGACAAAGAGAGACTGTCTCAAAAAAAGAAAAAACAAATTTGTTATCATACAGTTTTGAGGGTCAGAAGTCTAACATACGTCTCGGTGGACTAACATTGAGGTGTCAGCAGGGTAGCATTCCTGTTGGCTTCAGGGCAGAATCCCTTTCCTTGCCTCTTCCAGCTTCTAGTGCTGCCTGTCTTCCTTGGCTCATGGCCCCTTCTTCCATCTTCAGAGCCAGCCGCATAGCATCTTCCAGGCTCTCTCTGGCTTCTGCTTCCATCCTCACATCTCCTTCTGTGACTCTGAGCCTCCTGCCTCCCTCCTATAAGAACTCACGTGATTACCTTGGGCCCACCTGGATAATCCAAGATGGCTCCTTCATCTCAAGATTCTTAATTTATGTGGTGCATGAAGGCTCACACCTGTAATCCCAGCACTTTGGGAGGTGGAGGCGGGCAGATCACTTGAGATCAGGAGTTTGAGACCAATTTGGCTAACATAGTGAAACCCTGTCTCTTCTAAAAATATAAAAATTAGCTGGGCATGGTGGCCTAAGCCTACAATCCCAGCTACTTGGGAGGCTGAGGCATGAGAATCACTTGAACCCGGGAGGCAGAGGCTGCCGTAAGCCAAGATTGCACCACTGCACTCCAGCCTGGGCCACAGAGCAAGACTCCATCTCAAAAAAAAAAAAAAAAAAAAAAGATTCTTAATTACATCTGCAAAGTCCCTTTTGCCATATGAAGTGATATACTCAGAGGTTCTGAAGATTAGGAGATGGACATCTTTGGGGAATAATTATTCTGCCCACCCCGGGAGTAAGAGTGGGGAGACAGAAGACAGTATTGGAGGCATCCTCTGGGGAGAAAGTCAAAACCCAGCCACTCCTCCTCATTCCCTCATCCAGGACTGTTTTGGGGCTGAGAGTGCTTCTAAAAATAGGGAGAAGATGGATCCGAGGGTTAGGCCAGGAGGGAGGTGGGGAAGGGGAAGGGCTAGGAGGAGACTGTCGGAAATCTGTGAGGTCTTCAGGAGAAAGATGACACAGGTACCCCTCAGCTGCCTGAAGCAGACTGGGAATTTCATTCACCCTTAGCCCATGCAGCCCGTTTGACCCACACACACCTCAAGGAAGGCCGAGATAGAGTCTTGAAGAACACTCAGCTGACAATGACATGCATGTTTGGAAAACGGCAGTGAGGAGAGAACCCAAAACTGAAAGTGAGTCACCTTTTTAAGTTGCACCCTCTGAGTGAGTCCTTCACAGGCGCCCACAGCAGCTCTCTGGAGAGGACGCCCCCACATCAGGGAGGCGTGGGCCTCAACACATGCTCTCAAGCCTCCACACTTCTGCTTCCTAAGTAGGTTGAAAACATTTCCAAAAATATGTTGTATGTATTAGTCACCATATGCCTAATATATACAGTCCTTCGCCTCCCACCCCCTGGACGTTTTATTGGCAAGGATTAAGAATTTGAAGCTAACCTGCCTGTGTGCGGTGGCCCATGCCTGTAATCCCAGCATTTTGGGAGGCCAAGGCGGGTGGATCACGAGGTCAGGAGTTCAAGACCAGCCTGACCAAAATGGTGAACCCCGTCTCTACCAAAAATTCAAAAATTAACCAGGCGTGGTGACGGGCGCCTATAATCCCAACTACTCAGGAGGCTGAGGCAGGAGAATCGCTGGAACCTGGGAGGCGGAGGTTGCAGTGAACTGAGGTCATGCCACTATACTCCAGCCTGGGTGATAGAGTGAGACTTTGTCTCAAAAAAAAAAAAAAAGAAGAATTTGAAGCTAACCTAGAACCAGACTGTGGATCTCTCTTGGGCTTTGGGCCTGTAATGGGCCTGTAGGCCCCCTGTTCCTCCCCTTAGGAGGGATATTAAGAAGAATACCTAAGAAGTAGTTAATACCTCTGGAGTCTCTTGAATTTAGAAAACTAAGAGGCAAGTGTTTACCTTTCTCTGTGAGGCCTCCAAGCTGGTGGCCGCTTGTACGGGAGTCTTGTCATAGCTTTTGTTTATAAATTTTGCATTGGTTTGCTTGATCTTTAACATTACTTTATTCAATAAATATGCATCTAATATAATTGTTTTACATTTTATTTATTTATTTATTTTGAGATGGAATCTCACTCTGTCACCCAGGCTGGAGTGCAGTGGCGTGATCTCGGTTCACTGCAAGCTCCGCCTCCCGGATTCATGCCATTCTCCTGCCTCAGCCTCCCGAGTAGCTGGGAATACAGGTGCCTGCCACGACGCCTGGCTAATTTTTTGTATTTTAAGTAGGGACAGGTTTTTACCATGTTAGCCAGGATGGTCTCGATCTCCTGACCTCGTGATCTGCCTTGGCCTCTCAAAGTTCTGGGATTACAGGCTTGAGTCACTGCACCAGGACCAAATTTTATTTTTTCAATTGACATGTACATATTGTATATATTTATGGTGTACAATATGATGTTTTAAAATATGTATATATTGTGAAATGGCTAAAGCAAGCCAATCGACATGCATTACCTCATATATGTACCATTTTTGTGATGAAAACACTTAAAGTGTACTCAGTAATTTTCTACTGCACAATACATTGTTATTAACTATAATCACCTTGTTGTACAATAATCCCCTGAATTTATGCTTCCTGTCTAACTGAAAATTCTGCACCTGTTACCCAACAGGAGACTTAAGTCAGGGTACAGGCAAACAGCATCACATCTTTAAACAACTGCTGCCTGTTTTCTCCAGAATGCGTTTCATTTGTAAATAATATTTGTCTACTAAATATAAATACTTGAGTAAAACATTTAGGACTGGCTGTAGGTATGCATGACTGGCTAGATCATTGATTACTTGGACAACTGTTTCTGCTTTCAGACTAGAGAGCTCTTGTGTGGGAATAAATCTGAGTTTGGAGCTAGCAGTTGGAACCTTCTGGCTAATTCTGCTGATTTCTGCCCTCTTAGATGCTTACAGACTCCCATCACATGGGTCTACTGTAGAGAATTCCCAGGGGGAGATGGACTTATTGAGTTGAATGGCAGCCTTCCTAACTGGAGGCCATTACCAGTATGTAGTGGGGCCCCTGCAGACGGCCCATCTGCTCATCTCTCTTGACCCAGACTTTCAATGACAGTATGTGTGGAAGCCAAGCTTTTACTTCTTGATCCTGAACGAGACTTATTTTAGGCTCAAGACCACATTTTCATTGTGTAATTTCATCATCTGCATACACAGTATTTAGCAAGGATTCACAATAGGGTCAGACCCTAAATTAAAGAAAAATAAGTTGTGATTTCTGCCTCTAAGGAAATGACCTTTGAAAGGTAAAAGAAAGAAGTTGAAAACACACGTGAATAGTTTCATAGGACAAGTCACTTTGCCCTTTACTTTCTCTCCTTTTTCCTTTTCTTTTTCTTTTTTTTTTTTTTAAGTTCTGGGATACACGTACAGAACGTGCAGGTTTGTTACATAGGTGTATGTGTGCCATGGTGGTTTGCTGCACCTACTCTTTTATTTTCTAAAAATGGAAGATAATAAAACTGACCCTCCTCAAGTATTTACTAGTATGAATACGGAGTTCATTGTTCAATAATTTGAAAAGAGCCATGAATAAAAACGTGATGCAATTGGCCCAAGACACACGTGGCTGAAGGCTGGCCGGGAATATTTTCCTGATTAACTTTGCATCCAATGTCCTGGGAGTTTCTTCTCCAAAGGTCTACCCTGGAACCTCTGTTGACCTTTACTTCCATCCAGGGTAGTGTGTTCAGGACCACACAGCTAGCTGTCTACAAAGTGGGGAAGACTTTATTGAAAGAAGCAATACAGGGAGGGCCAGGCAGAGTGGCTTGTAATCCCAACACTTTGGGAGGCTGCGGTGGGCAGATCACAAGATCAAGAGATCAAGACCATCCTGGCCAACATGGTGAAACCTCATCTCTACTAAAAATACAAAAATTAGCTGGGCATCATGGTGTGTGCCTGTAGTCCCAGCTACTCAGGAGGCTAAGGCAGGAGAATCGCTTGAACCCGGGAGGCAGAGGTTGCAGTGAGCCAAGATCGCCCCATTGTACTCCAGCCTGGTGACAGAGTGAGACTCCATCTCAAAAAAAAAAAAAGAAAGAAAAGAAAAGAAATACAGGGGACTACCTATGAAAAGTAGGCATGTACTAGTCTTGCTGGTCATTTCAGCCGTACTAAACATCTCATAATAATTGTGCTTTGACATACAACCTTACTGCGACCTTCTAACTCTGAACCCAACATTTTCCTGGCCCCTAAATAAACCCTGTTTAGTGAAGAGAAAAGAAACAAGAAAATAGGAGATGATCAGTGATATCTGAGATAACATTTAAGGATAAATAGGACAGCCAGGCAAAGAATAGGGCAAGGATTAGAGTTAGGGCTGTTTACTGGCAAGGAAGCCATGGAGCAATCTCTGTCCATTTGAGATAGGGTTTTAGCCCCAAGGGATTGTATTAATTAGGATTACATTGGATGGCAGGTAATAGAAAATTATGTTATATTGGTTTAACCAGGTAGAAGTTTTGTTTTTCTCGTGTAACACAAAGCCTAGGGGTGGGAAGCCCAGGATTACTATGATTTTGCCATGACATGATGCCAGCAGGAATCGGTTTAGCTTTCATCCTCAAGTTTGTCACCTCACGGTCTCAAAATGGCTGCATGCTTCAGTGTGATGTACAAGTTCCAGGCAGAAAGAATTAGACAGGCAGGAAAAAATACGATGTGCCAATGGAGACACCTCCCTTTAAAGAGCCTTCTGCGATGCCTTACACAGTAATTTCTACTTATACCTCATTAGTCACTATTGTGTTATACTGCTGCCCATCTGTGAGACAGTCTATGTGTAGTACCAGAATAAACAAAACCTGGGTTCTGTTACAAGGAAGAAGGGGAGATTAAATATTTGATAGGCAACCAGCAGCGGTTGCAATAGTGACATAAAAAAACAACAGAAAACCTTACGTTAATGTTTATATTGCAGTCACATTAATTAATTTCATCCCCTTTAAATGCAAGGTGGTGAATGGGCAGGCATCCTTTTTTAATAAAAGATGTATCAAATGTCAGAAGCAATCTGACATGTCCAAGATCATCAGAAATACAATCCAATACCAATATGAAGTCCACGACCTTTATAATACATCATGCTACTTAAGAATTCTGATCTATACAGGAGGTCTTAGACATCCAAGAAGAGTATGTTTCAGGACTTTGTGAAACTCCATATTTAGGATAAGACTATAACATGTCACTTCCCTAATAGTATAGGAGGAAAGAAGGGATAAGAAAAGAATAACAAAGCCTCTTGGAGATAGACGTTAAGCTTCCAGGTAGGTTCATTCACTATCGCTAATAGTTGTTAGCAACAGTGGGCCCAGGTGCAGCGGCTCACACCTATAATCCTAGCTACTTGAAGGTTGAGGCAGGAATATCACTTGAGACCAAAAGTTCAAGACCAGCCTGGGTAACATAGAGGGACCCTCATCTCTGAAAAAGATTTAAATTTTTTTTTTTTTTTTTTCAGCCAGGCATGGTGGCATGCACTTGTAGTCCCAGCTACTTGGGAGGCTGAGGCAGGAGGATTGCTTGAGCTCAGGAGTTCACCACTGCAGTGAGGTATAATTGTGCTATAGCACTACAGCCTGGGTGACAGAGCAAGACCCCCATCTCTCAAAAAAATAAAATACAATAACCTTAAGCTAATACTCATGAAGCCCTTTGTTGTTTATGGGCATTGCCTCATTTCACCTTCTTACCAGCACTCTGAGTTAAGCACTATTACTATTGTCTTTCTTTTACAGGGGAGGACATGAAGGTTCAGAAAGGTGAAGCAAACATGCCCAGTGTCATACAGCTACTATACGGCAGAGCTAGAACTCTAATCTCAAGCTTCTCTAACCCCAGCACCTAAATATCAAACCTAACTTCCTTTCTACCGCTTTCCATGAGCTCTGACTCACTCTTGCAGAGCAGCCTTACAGAGAATAGAATTCCAATTTGGACCTCAACAAAATTATGAATGATTACATCCCATGTTTTATCAAGGTTGTTCATCTCCACTGTAAACTGTAGAAATTAAATCTGCACATTCTGAGAGTCTTCTGTATTTAAACTCTTTTAGCCCTGCCACTGATGCCAAATTCCTAATGACTACACAGTTCATCGCAATTGGCCTCATCCTGTAGACTTTTCTCTGCTCTTCTTCTTGTGGAGTGGAGTTTGCTATCATGGCTTGGCTGTCATTAATGTGATGAATGTAATTATCCCTTTGAGCCATTTCTATTAAGATTCTGGTCTTGAGTTGGCAAAATGGAATTTAATCTTCTTGAATATGGGGTAAGAGAGCGTCCTGGGGGCTTCTGTGGCATTCCAGAGCTTAGGCCTGCAAAGAAGTCTTAGTGTGGAGGCCGGTAGCACAGTCTCAAATCCCAGGTCTTAAAGCTGGAAGAGGGGAGGTGGCCCAGTCCCTGACAAACCAGGCAGGTAAGGCATCATTAGCGCCATTTCAAAGGGAAGGTGACTGAGGCTTGGGAGCTTAAATGAAACAGCAAGGGTCATACAGCTGGTTTCAGAGCTCAATTCAATCCCCTCAGGGAGAAGGAAGAATGGAGTGACTCATTTCCTCACCAAACAGGAACTTGTACGTTGTTTTGACAGAACTTTATGTCTATCCAGGCTCTTTGTTATTCTGACAGAGAATGGCACAGCCTATTCTTCTCTAGAGCCAATTTTCAAAATTAGCAAGGAAGCTGTCACTGTCGCATCTCTTTCATGTGTCAGTGTAGTCAAGACGGTGATCGGTGAAATGTTTTAAATCGTACTCTAAATATACATACAGTGCTGGAGGAAGGTGGGGTTGGTTCATGTTTCAGCCGCTCCTGTGTTATAATATCTGAACGCTTGCTTTAAGCTCAGATCTCCAGGCTGCTCCAAAGATGGGAATTTCTTACAGTGTCGCTCTAGCAAACTGGAGGGCAGCTTTTCATTGTCTAATTATTCACACGTGGGGTCTGAATGTGCCATGCTCATGCCCTCTTCCAACACACTTTAACTCCCAGCCTGTCTGCTCCCAGCCGGTGATGTAAATGTACCAGCTGCTTCCTAAGAACCAGTCCGCATCCTGCAGGAGGGGCTGGTTCCTTTCCTGGGCATCAGCCTGCCTGCTCTCAGCCTAAGCTCTCTCGCCAACCATGGTGGCTCCTTGCATTCCTACATCCTCTTATCTGAGAATCAGAGAGCATAATCTTCTTACGGGCCCGTGATTTATTAACGTGGCTTAATCTAAAGGTTCTCAGTCAAATTCTTTATGATCTACTGATTGTGGGGGCATGGCAAGGTTTGCTTGAAGGAGCTTGGCTGGTTTGGGCCCTTGTAGCTGACAGAAGGTGGCCAGGGAGAAGGCAGCACACTGCTCGGAGAATGAAGGCGCTTCTGCTGCTGGTCTTGCCTTGGCTCAGTCCTGCTAACTACATTGACAATGTGGGCAACCTGCACTTCCTGTATTCGGAACTGTGAGTCCCCTCTCTGTCCGTGCCTGTGTCTGTTTATGTGCCTAGTACGTTGGGGGTGGGACCCAAGTCCATTCCCTAGCTGATATATCCATTTAGAGGAATAAATTCTACACACACTAGATGCACTTGGACAAAGCGCCCTGCCAGCAGTTTAAAGCAGCATGCTTAGCTGTCTGTGACTTGACAAAAAAGCCCCATATTAACAGATGCAGTGCTTTCTCAACAAGGCATTTTTTTCCTGCTTCAGTGCCAGTGCTGCTTTTTTTGGGGTACTCTTTTTCCTCAATAGATGTAACTTCTCTTCCTTCTGTAAATAGAACTGAAGAGCAGTTAAGAATAGAATTTGTACGCATAGATCTGCTGCCTCTGTTGGGTATTTATAATTGCAAGCAGGCATTGTCCCTTTATTGAGACAGTCTCTATACCTGAAAACAGGTATAGTATCAGCAAAAAAAACCCCAAAAACAAAACCCTATGTATAAAACATTTATATCCATGTTATTTTTATTTCTGATGCTTTTTAAACCTATGGGATACAAAGAAATATGCCTTGAGCACCCATATTTCCATTGCCTTGATTTAATGGTTAATATTTTGCCACATTTGCTTCATATATTTTTTGCTGCAATGGTCCGGAGCAAATTGTAGCCATCATGACATATCACCCCTAAATACATGATTGTGCATCTCTGAAAAATAAACACAATTTCCTACATGACCCATGTCCATTTTATGCAAGCAAATGCCTCGTGTCACCAACCTCTAGTGATATTTTTCCAGCTCCTTTTGTTAGTAAGCTTTGAATAAGGATTACAGACTGATGTGAACGGCTTCTAACAATCATATGAAAAGTGTTGCTGTGTGTGCCTCGTGTTTGGAACATTTGCAAATGTATTCCTCCTTACGAACCTAACTAGACGGGAAAAATAGCAAGAGTTGACTTATGTGTAAATTACAGTCAGTGAGCAAATGAAAACGGAGACTTTAAATAGAGTTCCTAGAGCCCAGATCAAAAAAGCTTGTCTGGTCACATTTAGATAGTGCTACCACCCATGACTCTGTGGTGGTAGCCCCTGCCTCCTTTGTAATTCGCTGGACCAGCCAATTTGTTTAACACAGCAGGTGCTCTTTGATAAACAGAGCTAGGTTCTTGGAAGCAGATCATTTGTTCTGCATTTCAGGATTATCTGGTCCCATCTTACTGGAATGTAACCCCAGGATCCAAGAGAAAGTATCTAGCTTAAATCTGAATCATGAGCATCTCTGAGGAAATAATGACCTTGCAGAAGCTTTTCTAGACAAACAGACAATGGCAGAGATTATGAAAAGGCTCATTCCTCTCTCAATGGATGCTGAGGTTGGGATCTTTGAAATTCAGTGCAATGATATTCTTCCCTGTCCACCCATTCCCATCCGCTATCCTTCTTCATTGCTATGTTGTTTTCCTAGGGCTGCTGTCATGAATCAACCCGAGTTGGGTATCTTAAAACAACAGAAATTTATTCTCCCACAGTTCTGGCATCCAGAAGCTTGAACTCAAGGTGTCAGCAAGGTCATGCTCCCTATGAAGGCTAAAGGGGAGAATGCTTTCTTGCATTCTTCTAGTTTTGTAGGGGGTGGGGGTGGCGCTGCAGGTGTTCCTTGGCTTGTGGCTGCATAACTCTACCTCTGCCTCCAACTGTCTGCACATGGCCTTCTCCTCAGTGTCCTCTTCAATTCTCTTTGCCTTCTCCTCTTCTTATAAGGATACTTATCATTGGATTTAGGGCCTACTTGGATACTCCATGGTAATCTTATCTTGAGATCTTTAATTGCATCTATAAGACCCTTATTCCAAATATGGTCACGTTTACAGGTTCTGGGTAGACATCTTTTGGGGGCCACCACTCCACTGACTACAGATTCCTACTATTCCTACACAAAGATTCCTGCTATTGAGGAATCTTTCCATTTGTTTACTTTCAGTTTTATAGCCTAATTGAAGGAAGGCCCTTATACTACTTACTAATTTTCTCTTCTACAAGTACATGAATCAAAGGCAACAGTTTTACTGAATAACTGAATGGACACAGGGAATCTATGAAAGTATGATGCTAGGGAATTGCCAGGATGGTGTTTCCACATTTATCTGACTTTCTTAGAAGCTTCCAGTTGCTGTGTATGCTTTGTGAGAGAGTTCTGTGCAGCTGTTCCCTGATGCTACTGGGGATAATTACTCAGTGAATTAGTGACACATTTCAGGTACTGTAGTGTTCTCCAAGGAATCCAGGCAATAAGAATTGAAGCATGGTACCTCCTCTCTAGGAGTTGACAGTCTGATTGAGAAGCTGAAATTTATACACATAAGAGATATAAGGAATGATTCAAGGCAGATGGAAATAAGTCATTTATAAGTAGAGTAGGTAGTAAATTGAGAGGAGGGAGAGATTGTCTACACTGGTGAAATTGATCAGGGAAAGCTTCCAGAGGAGTTGGGGGTTTAAGCTGGATCTTGAAGTGCTTAGAGGAATGAGGTAGAAACGGGTAGAAAGTGGAAGTATTTCAGGGATGGTAAGTGGCACAAGCAAAAAGGTTAGGAGCTAGCTGTGATTGTCACCAAAGCTTGAAAAACTATCATTTGGAACAGTAAATAAGGCTGCTGGGCCAGTTTAGCACCCTTAGGAGCAGGAATGATGGGTGATGGCTGCATGTCCAAGATGGAGGCCTTCTCTTACCTACTCTGGGTCATAGGATCCCAAAAGCAGGCAGAGCTCGGGGGATCTGCTGGGCTTCCTCCACCCTTTATCTTAGCTTTGGACTCCTGGCACTAGGGGAAGCTTGCCCTGTATTCCTTGTGCTTCCAGATGCACAGACCCTCCTGGATTTTCCTTTCTGTCTAACACCAATGCACTCTTGTCTTCCTGAGTTCATGCCTAGCTCAGACACTGGAACTAATCCAGTACATGGATTCAAATTTAGCATGTGGCCCAGGTTTCTCAAAGTCAAATGCCTACAGGAGCAAAGCAGGAATATTTTTTTTGTTGTTTTTTGTTGTTGTTGTTTTGAGACAGAATCTCACTCTGTTGCCCAGGCTGGAGTGCAGTGGCACAATTTCAGCTAGCTGCAACCTCCGCCTCCCGGGTTCAAGTGTTTCTCCTGCCTCAGCCTCCTGAGTAGCTGGGATTACAGGTGCCCACCACCACACCTGGCTAATTTTTGTATTTTTAGTAGAAATGGGGTTTCACTATATTGGCCGGGCTGGTCTTGAACTCCTGACCTTGTGATCTACCCACCTTGGCCTCCCAAAGTGCTGGGATTACAAGTGTGAGCCACCTTGCCCAACCAGGAATTATTTTAAAATGTGCATCATTCAGGCATAACACAAAAGGAGGTGGTGAGGCCTCTGGCCAACTGCAGAATGAATAGATAATGCCCAAAAGCATTCAAATTCAATTTAAAACAAAACAAAAACCCTGTGTCCAATTTAGCAGATCACTTAGGCATGCCTGGTTTGGCCTTGAGGGCCAATGGTTTATAACAACTTGGCCAAACCGATTCAGAATGTTGGGCCAAACACTTATTGACTCCAATGGGAAAGACACCAGTTTCAGAAGGATGAAGAACAGACCCAGAACTGACAAATGAGACACTGGGTTTTACTGGGGACTTACATATAGGGGAGAGTCCACTGGCAGCGGGCTGGACAGGAGAACCCCTTTGCGTGTAGTCCAATGGCAAGAGCTGGACAGAACTGCAAACGCTTGCAAAGACATGCATTTTATATTCACTTAGGACCCTCTCCCTAACAATCTCCACCTAGCAACCTTAACCCAAAACAAAGGACGGGTACAGCCCATGTTTCCTGGGATGGGCTAGGGGCTAAGCTGTTTCTCATAGATAAGGAATGACCCTCTGGGTTGGCCATTCCCGGATTCCTTAGCTTGAAACTCTGAACCACATGCAGGTGTGTCTACTATACAGGGTCAGTCTCAAGGTATGTTTAAGTTATTGCTATCAGGTGTGTTTATACCAGGGCCTTTCCTTCTTTAAATATGTCTATTGTCACCTGATGCCTTGACCTAGAGGACAGTGAATTTGACAGAAGAACCCTAAAACCAGAGTATTTGGTGTGGAGTCCCAATCCATAGATCAGGGCGCGGAGAATCTAGGACAGCCCTCAGGTCTACAAAGAGCAGGCCCTAAGGATGAATGACAGCGCTTTCCTTCCCCACATGCCCTCACTCGCAGACCTCCATGACCATTCTTTTTGAATTTCCTAGACCCCAAAGGGAATCTGGGAAAATAACTTTCAGCATCATGGGCATGAGCATGGAAACAGCCTTCTCATCTTTCTGGGTCTATATTTACAGCCCTACACATGGAGAGACTTGTAGATGAAAACCTTAGAACAGTGTAGGTTCTGAGGATCACCCACTTCAGAAGTAGGGACAGAGTTTGTTTTCAAAATGAAGATTTGGAGGACTCTAAATCAAACCTACTAAAATTAAAATCTTTGGGAGTGGGGCCCATACATTTTCATGCTTAAGCCTTCCAGGTGATTCTCATGCGGCCTCCCCATTTTCATGCTTGACAAGCTCCCCAGGGGATCCGTATGGGCACTACAGTTTAAGAACTCTTCACTCCAGCTGCAAAGCCAATTCACCTTGACTTCCCCTGTTGAAAATTATCACTCCTCTCTGTGTCCCCACTCAGTGCTATATGCATCAGGAACTTTTACCCTGTGAGTTCTGTGAGTTCTGAGGAGATTTTGGGATGCAGTAATGTTCATATGCCCAGCTTCTGCACAGCTTGGGGCAGAATTAAGTTAAACCAAATTAAGTGAATTTGCCTCATATCTTGGCCAACTCCTAAATGTTTCAAGCTGTGATAAAGAAGACCCTGGTTGGTTTCTTTGGAAGGGAATATTGACTTTGCTCATAATGATACAAGCTAGGCTCGTCACTGGGATTGTCATTGAGCTGGTTGGTCATCACCTGTGGCTTTTGTAACATTTCTTTAAA